AGGTTTCGTAGGAAAATACGAAACCTTTAGAATTTCGTATTAAACTCGAGGAAATCATGAAGGTTTAGTATGAAACTATTAGGGTTATATATGAAACTCTAAAGGTTTCGTATTTTCCTACGAAACCTTTTTCTGCTGTACAGAACTTAAAAAAGGTTTCGCAGGAAAAGGTTCTTTTCCTGGGTACACGGTAAGAACCTATAAAGATTTTGTAGATTTTTTTATCCTCTTTTCGAGACTTTGGACACCTTTGGACGCTTTTAGAAATCTCCAGAACCTTTTTTAGAGGTTCGGTAAAAAAGCGATTTTTTTTTCAGAGTGCAGTATACTCACACTCAAGAAATGTGGCTTCCTTACCAATTACTAAAGGTGACACTCCTTTAATCGAATCGTTTGTACCTATTAATGAAATATCTATTTGTTCTTATGTTATTGTAACACACTGGTAATGTATTTTAGCTCGTTACTTTTTGTTCCTTTCGTTCTTGCATTATCAATATCCTTTAGCTTGGTACCTTTTACTCTTTTCTCAGTTTGAGTTATAAGCAAATGACATTGACTACCGCAACTAATGTTGTTGCTATGTTTATACATCCTTCTATATTCATAAACACCTCGTGTGCTATTTCTTCGTTCTGCTTTGTATCCACTTCCTTCCTTTCCTCTTTCTGTCTGGGAGTTATCTGTCTCCGATAGATGATATATAAACGCGTGCTTTTCCATGTGTGTGTTGTTGTTTTTGGTAACAAGAATAGAGATAAGAAAGAAATAAAGTAATTCGGTATAGAATCTCATTGTCTCTTGTAGAAAATCGTTACACTAAATGTCTTATTGTAAGGTCTCTATAGTTTTCTCCTCTGCTATTTTTCATCTGTCTGTTTCAGGTTTTTATTTCAAAGCCCAGAAAGAGTTATTATTTACATGTGCAATCGTATCTAGTGAGGAATCAGTTCGAGAAATAAAGAAAGAACAAGAAGAAATAAATGCTGTAGACAAAAACACACTGATATATAAAGAAATAATTTTCTAATATTTATTGCCATTTTGTTTTTATAGAAGAAAATTAATCCATTATGGGTAACTTCAATGACAGAGAACCAGATGAAACCTATAGGAACACCACCGATATGTTATTGTATGATGTAATAAATGGCAAGCTAAGATATGCAGTACCTGGAGATATGATCCAATTTCACAGAGGAAGATATGAACACTGGGCAATCTATATTGGACATAGCAAAGTTATTCAGGTGACAGTTATAAATTCTGGTATTGCGCTCCTAGATGCCACCATGGCAGTTGGGCATGCAATTTCAACTTTGGGAAGAGATACTGCTTTTGCGATAATCACGGAAGAAACTTTTCACAAGGTGCTTAAGAGTAGTGGTGCAGCAAGAATTAACAATTTCAAAGATAACGAATGGCCGGTTTTACCAGCGAATGAAATTGTTCAACGTGCTCGCGATTCTCTTGGAAAAGTAGGATATAATGTTCTTACGAACAATTGTGAGCACTTTGCAACTGGATGTCGATATGGAGACCGCCTGAGTGGTCAAGAAGAAGCTTTTTGGTCAACGGCAACGTTGGGAACATACGAGAGAAGGTAAACGCAAGACAACGCATCCATTAACGAGACTAAGTTATTTTTTTGTTAACGATCCATTAACGAAGTCAAATTTTCTCTTTTTTTGTATCATTAAATTTATATACTAATCGGGTTACGAGTGAATGTTCTCTGTCTCTGTCTGTTTCTATTTGTTTATGTGACTCTGATTGTAGCGATATCGTTGTATCTGTTCTCTTTCATAACTTTCCTTTTCTTCTGTCTTCTCTTCTTTCTCTCTTTTAGTTGCAGATATAAATGTGTGCTTTGTACGTAGATGGTGTGATTCTTGATAAGGAGGAATATAAGAAAGTGTAGTTCCATCAGCGGTAACTCTTCTTCTATCTAAAAATCGTCCCAAATAGGTTATTACTGATCGATACATACAAATGTGAATTATTAATTAATCGATCGTTTGTTTTATCAACTGAAATCTATTCTTTAAACTTTTTAAAGTTCATTAATATATTCTCTTCGTTTGTTGTTTTTTCTATACTGTCTTGCATTTTTAACCAAATACTAAATCTTTCTTTAACTGCTCTAGGTCTAAAATTATTAATGGAATCCTTTTCGTCATCAATTTCATTGAGTAGTTTACAAAATTCTGCAAATACTTCATCTTTAATAATCACTGTTTTTTATTTCTACTTTAGCTGCGCTAAGTTTATTTACTTCTGTTCTACCTTGGTTTCATTTCAATGCGTCATAATCATATTTACCTTTTTCTAATAATATAAATTGACAAGTTCCTTTACTACCCGTTCTCCAGGTCCTACCAACATTTTTGCTATTTTACTTCCTCATTTGGTAGTAAAAACGTGACACATACATGTAACTCACCATTTGTTTCAATTTTATCAGCTTTAATATCTGTTCCTCTACTGACAATATTGGTTGCAATTATTATTTCCTCTGCCTTCAATTCTTCTTCTATAACCTTAGATATCGTATGTTGTATAAACTTTGACTTTTGACTCATTAACTTCTGATATTATCAAGCTAGCTTTTACTTTATAGACTACTTTTATATATTTCATAATTACTAAAACTTCTCTACCATTGTTGAGTTTTTTCATGCAACTTTCTACTATGTTACTATACCAATAATATTCATTATCAATGATTATTGGACTTAATTCTTTGTATTGTTTTTGTTTAAAAGGTGAAATAATGACACAATGTACCCAACAGATGCTCTTCAATAATTCTCTCGCGTTAATACTTTCAAGAGTCCCTGTTAAACCATAAATATTCTTTTCGTATCGTTGAAAATAGGTAACATGGGAAATAAAATTCATAGTTTCCAATACATATTTTGTTCTTCTATTCCTGTATTGGTTGCATCTATCGAGGCAATTCTACGATTTCTTTTTATTTCATGTCTTTCATATTGACATCAATATTTAGCATAAATGACACTATCAATCCATGTTTATAGCTGACTCTTGTTTACTAAATCTTTTAAATGTGACGGAATGTATATTTCTGGATAATCACTCGGAATGTCGCGTTCAGTTTCTGACAAGTTTTCTTTATCCCTAAGTAATTATTTTATATACTTTTCTGTCCAATTTTTAATAAAATCTTTAGTTTCTTTGATAAGATTTTAATTTACCATTGTTATCAAGCATATCTGATTACTCTATAGAAAACTTTTTACCGTCAACTTCTTGAATACACATAGGCACTTCTTCTATCTCTATTAATATTGCTGCCAAAAGGGTTCTAAATGATCCATTGCCGGTATAGGAGAAGACAGCATAACAATATGATTTTTACCGGCAATAAGCATAGAATCGACTTCATCAACTATAGCAACATCACATTTTCAGTCCACTCTTATATTTCGGATGATCTCCGATGTTTAATAATGTCAAAATCATCGAAGAGTTTAGACTTATTCTCATAAGCATGTTTCATTTTTTGATAATCAGCTATTAATTTCTCATCACATAAAAATGATATTCCATTATCTTTATTTAATTTATATAGATCCGTTTTCAAAATTTCTAAATCTTTATCGTAGCTACCTTTAAAAGTTTGAAGGGTCTGGGTCTGGGTCTGTGTGTGTGGGTTTGGGTATGGGCGTGGAGGTGGATATGAATTAACAGAAGATCCACACCCACAAGCTTCACATTCCAAAGTGTACAGCTTTTCACGTTGAATCTCTTAGTATATTTTGCTTTTCTAATAAAACATCTTTAGAGATTAAAACACGAAATGCAAAGCTTTGTCAGTCGTTATCGGTCACCCGTTATCAGAGAAGAGCAGGTCCCACCAGTGGAACCCGTCGTGGTGAATGTGTGAAAGTATTTAGTTAAAGAAAATTAGCTACAAGTGATGGGTGCCTAACAAAAATCGATCATATCATAAGTTCGATATGTTGAGAAGGGAGCTTCTGTTATAGCTGAAACTATCATATTACTCTACTCGTTACCAGAACTGCTTATGAGCAAAATCTCAGCTTGACATCGCGTCATTTTATTATACTTGAAATATTCACAGTAAGCCTAAAAAAGCTTGTCAGCGTAGCCCCTTTAGGGCTAAAATGTGGAACTCACATATCTCCTTTGGTTTCATTATACTAATGACAAAATACTCAATATTTAAAATCTCCAAAATATACGAATTTTTTTCTAAAGATAATCGATGATTAGAAAATGCTATATTTCTATCTTTAAGTTTCGAACAGAAGTTTTTTTTTCACGAAGTTGCCAAGGCCTGTAAGGGGGGGGGGGGTATGCCTATGGTGTGTGTGTGGGGGGGGGGGGGGCTGTAATGGGGGGAGGTCTGTAATGTTCTCTTTCCCGTTGCTATGTGTCTGTAATAGGGGTGGGGAGCCGCGAACCTCGAACTGAAAACTTACACTCACTATTTTCTTCGAAAACATACGTGAGTTCCACAAAATTAGTAAAATGGCCGTAACTCTAGAAGAAAAGGTCAGAAACCGAAACACTTCTAGCACTACACTAGTCGCATTAAGGCCTCCGTGTGGGCAAAATATCATGTCAAAAGGGGGACTTCATGTGGAGATATTCCTTCGTGACTTGGACTAGGCCGGACCGAGAGTGCACGAGCAACCTTGACCCACGGTACAGGGTGGGCCAAAAAAATAGCATAATTTCTAGACCCTGTACGAAGCGCTGCACATTTCAAATGGAATCTATATTTTTTTAATGTAGAAGATATCTCAGAGTGTATAATCGTACTGCTCTTGGTTATGCTACCTAGCAATGCTAAAGAAATTTGCTTATATCAAAGCTTCTCAAAAGTCATCACATGGATGCCATCGCTTGTTGATAAAGCGTTACTTCACTTTTGTATTGACTCTGTGTTATTTCTCTTGTAAGTTGAAAGAAACCAGTGATGATAGCCAACAAGGTGCCCCATTCTCCATTTTCTGATCAAATACTTACTATGCAACTGAAAGCCCATATTCAAGTGTGCTTTATTCAGAGACATCGACTTTCTGCAAAAAAAAGAATAAAAGAATATGCTTTAATAAACTTTTTCTTACTTTCTCCTTGCATGATTCGTGTGACAAAAAAGACAGACTGTGCCATGGCCGAAGAAAAAAACAAGGGACTGGAGGATGTGAGTGTGGGTGTGGGTGTGGGCTGTGGGTGTGGGTGTGGGTGTGGGTGGATGTGGGTGGGTGCGGGTGTGGGTGTTGGTGTGGGGATGTAAATATCATTGGAGACCTCATTCACACCCACACCTTCCACCCACATCCACACCCACACCCACACCCCACACCCACACCCACACCCACACCCACACCTGCGCTTTTCACCATTGAAATCACTGCCCAAAACTACATCTGGCTAGGTGTGTCGCATCGCTTGCGTAACTGGTTTTGTATAACGTGGTAGAAGCCATGTGGATTCACCCTTCTATAGATTTTGATTTTTTTATAAAAGCAAATGAAAATTTTTTCGAGTGAATGACTCGAGTCAGGCAGTCAAGTCAAGATCATCCGATTTCCGAGTCCGAGTCGAGTCCGAGTCAGTAAAAAAATGTGACTCAAGTCGACTCGAGTCCGAGTTTTGACTCGGACTCGCCCATCCCTGATCTACAGGCACATTTTAAACTCTTCTGATCACTTTCGCTTTCAGTTACAAATTTCGCGTGGAGTGTGGGTGTGGATAGTGGTTGTGAGTGAGGGTGGTAGAACAAAGGATCACAACCACATCCATCCACACCCCACCCTTTTCTCGACAAAACGGCTTCTTAGGGCAGCTTGTTTGGAGCTGAAATGTGGAACTCACACATGTCCTTCAATCTTGTTATTCTAATAGATCATCTGCAAA